TAAAAAGACATGACACAAACTGTTAAAACATAAGTGATAAAGGACCTGTATCCAGAATTTTATATATATATATATATATATATATATATATATTTATATAAAGGTTTTATTGGGGAATTGGGTGAGGGGAACAGTGCTGGGGAATCCGGGAAGGGGAACAGACAAGTTGCTGTCCTTTTGTTCTTCGGTCTAGTTGTGGAGGACGTTGCTTCACTGGCCCATGTTGGTATTGTCATTGCACTCTTCCCGGGTGAGGCAGATCAGTCGCCAGCCATTGGACGGCCGCTCACGGCAGCTCATGGCAGCTCAAGCCAGCTGCCGGCTGCTCCTGCTGGCTGCCGGCCACTCACGGTAGCTCACAGCAGCCCACTGCATCAGGGGCTGCAGCCTACACTGTCACCGGCGACTCTCAGCAGCCCAGCTCCAGGTCGAGCTGTTGTTCACCATCTTAGCTGTAGAGGGCGCAGCGTCACTGGCCCTGATGTGGAATCCGAATTGGGGCCCTGTTGTTGCTCAGAGCTAGCATCCCAAGCCAGCTCTTAACCAACGCGCCACTCGTTTGGCCCCAGACTATACTTTTTTAAAACTCTCAAAACTCAGTTACAAGACAGCAAACAACCCAATTTAAAAATAAAATTCAGAGTGAGGGGAACAAATTAAAATTAATTTAAGAGACCGCTTATGGATTCTGATTTTTCTAAAAGGTAAAAGAACTTGGCAACCATGACACCTGTCCTAACAACAAGAAAAGGCTGAATAAACCAAAAGTCAATGAGTTTGCTTGCACCCCTCAGAGAATTGAGGTCGCAGGGCAGAATGCCACCCCCTAATCTGGAGCGACAAGGTGCAGAGTCACCGTCGCAACCTACTCACCGGGAGTAGAAGGTTCTGGAGCCACGAGATGGCCGTTGACGCACGGCTGGAGAGTGAGAAACTCCTGGGGCTCAGGCCAAGGGGGGGGGCCTCACACTTCCACAGGTTTTACCACCAGGAGCCTCGCCAAATTCGCGGGGTGAAGAGCAAGAGCAAATCCCCTACATTTCTGTTGGGGGAAAGGAGGAGGAATCGCATGGAAGTACACACACAGCTTTCTCTATAACACAGCCCTGGGGGGCAGGGGTGGGAAGGCGGGACTAGGAATTGAGGGGTCGTCTACATGATCCTGACATCATGCTTGGGGGCAAAAACCTGGAGGGCTCCCCCTCAGATTGAGAACAAGGCAAGGATGTCCCCTCTCACCAACCCTATTCAACTTTGTACAGGAAACTCTAAGTGCAAATAAGACAAGAAAAGGAAAAAAGGCATCCAGATTGGGAAGGAAGAAATAAAACTGTTTGTTTGCAGATGACAAGATTGGCCTTGAAGAAAATCCTGCAGAACTGACAAAAACAAACAAACAAATTATCCTGGAACTAACAAGCGATTATAAATAGCAAGACCCCAGGACACAAAGTTCATACACAAAAGTCAGTTGCTTTCCCATACCAGTAGTGAACAAACTAGAATTTGAAATTAAAAAAAAACCAAAACGCTATTTTCAGTAGCACCAAAAGAAAAAGGGAGAGAGGGAAAGAGAGGGACTGGGA